GGGGGGCATCGGGGGGGGGATGTGCACCCACCAAGCAGTTTTGGGGGGGCAGTTGGGGGGCCGAGGCCACCCTCTGACCCCCACGCTGTGCCCCAGACACCCAGCATGGGGGGGACCTGCTGCCCCCCTACTCCTGGCCCAAGGAGGAGCCCCCCTTCGGCAGTGGTTGCCCCCCGGGGCCTTTTGTACCTCCCCCCCCAACGGCGCTGCTCCCCGGGGAGGTGGGGGGCACCCATGGGACCCCCGAGCTGCCCCCCACCGCCATCCCCGAGACGGGGGGGCCCCCCATGGCCACCCTGGGGCCCTCCGTGGCCGCTTGCCCGCTGGCACCCACCGAGAACGTCATCCCCAACCTGCTCATCAGCCCCCACATGCTGCCACGTGAGCACCAAGGGGGGCGTGGGTGGCCGTGGGGTGGGTGGACATGGGTGGGCTTGGGTGTGGGGTGGCCATGGGGTGGCTGGATGGGGTGGTCATGGGCACGGGGTGGCCATGGGATGGTTAGATGGTGGTGGTCATGAGTGTGGGGTGGATGGATGGGATGGCCGTGGGTGTGGGAACCATAGGATGGTTGGATGGTGGTGGCCATGGGTGTGGGGTGGCCATGGGATGGTTAGATGGTGGTGGCCGTGGGTGTGGGGTGGCTGGATGGGATGGCTGTGGGTGTGGGGTGGTCCTAGGATGGTTGGGTGGTGGTGGCCGTGGGTGTGGGGTGGCCATGGGGTGGCTGGGTGGTGCTTGCCATGGGTATGGGGTGGCCATGGGATGGCTGGATGGGGTGGTCATAGCCATGGGATGGCCATGGGATGGTTAGATGTTGGTGGCCACGGGTGTGGGGTGGCTGGATGGGATGGCCATGGGTGTGGGAACCATGGGATGGTTGGATGGTGGTGGCCATGGGGTGGCTGGGTGGTGGTGGCCTGGCCATGGGTGTGGGATGGCCATGGGATGGTTAGATGTTGGTGGCCACGGGTGTGGGGTGGCTGGATGGGATGGCCATGGGTGTGGGAACCATGGGATGGTTGGATGGTGGTGGCCATGGATGTGTGGTGGCTGGATTTTGGTGTCCATGGGGGTGGGGTGGCC